GCACCGGGCGCGGGGAAGGTCCGGCAGGGAGGGTCCGCCCAGCCGGCCGTCTCACAAGCAAAGAGACGCTGGTGTGACAGGGAGGGTGAGCAGCCGTGCAGACCTGTCCTTGCCGGGGTCCCCCAGGCTGACTCAGGGGGGTGTGGGGAGCTCCCGGGTCTAAGGCCAGCCTGGCCTGAGGACGGACAGACACTCACGTTTTCAAGGGGTCAGATAGTTAAGTAACTATAATAGCAATAAAATCGCCAGGGCTCAGAGTCTACACCATGTCTGGTCCTCTCTTGTCTGGAACCCCCGACACGCTCTCCTTCCTGCCCTCGTGGCTCTGACGCTGGTACTTCACCAAGACTCCTCGTGATGGAACATAAAACCCTACCCTGGCCAGTCCCGAGGGCACATCAGGACGTACAGAAGGGAAGAGCCTACTTCCCACAGGAGACTTAGAAGCGCGACCACCACCATGCAAGCCCGTCGCCCGACGGCAGTCGGAACCGCCAGGCCCCGAGCCGCGGGCGGGGAGAACCGTCCGGGCGCTGTCAGGGTTTGTCACATTTGTAACTGTCCACAGCTTCTCAGCAAACACGCCAGAAGCGTCTGGGTTCTCAGGCAACTGTCTTAAAACTTATCCATAGGAAGTCAGGTCCATACCTGCTTTGTTTTTAACTGTACATTTCTTTAATTTGAAACTCAGTTCAGGTTTTACAGAAAAATTAGGCAGATACTCGATTTGATTCCTCACTGAGTCCTGAGTGAGTCACTGTTGGAAGACAATTCTCTGTGGATCTTGTGAGCAGAGGCTGGACCGCCTGCATTCTAGACAATCCTTCCAAGGATGTTTCTAAAGCGAACAGCTTTGGAGGCTAGAGACAGTGTCTTCCTCTAGAACAAGGGCACGTCTACTCACTGTCCAGTATAACAAAAGCCAGCACCCCTCGGGTGGAACTGGCCTGCTCACTGCTCATGGCACTGGATGTGGGCTCCCTGTGCCCCGATTCCTGCCCCCCCACAACTGTGTGTACAAGTGTCCCGGGGCCACTTACTGTCACCCTGTGGGAGGTGGGACTGGGGGAACCAGGACACACGCTGACCCTCTGGTCACTGCTACTGCTGTGAGCGACCGTGTCCTTGGTGTCTGATCCAGGAATCTCATGTCTGGGCTGGCATCCGTTGACTTGGGGGGACAACCTACTAGTTTGCCAGCCAGGTAAAAGCTCAGACCTTCCGTAGGTCTGCACAGTTATCTGAACTCCTTACGTCTCGGAGCCTCACTCTGTGAAGCGGGGATGACAGGCTCCCTGCCTTGAAGCGTGAGGCGATCCACATGGAGCGCTCCGCTCCGGGCCCGACGCACACGAGGCCTCGCTAAGGGTCAGGCCACGCTGTTACTATTTTAAGCAAAATGCATCCCAGTTCAGGTCGCACCCTCTGCAACCGGAGTGCAGAGTAACTCGTACATGTGGGTTTGGAGGATGATCTCGTATGAGTCACACATGCTGGGTACATTATACATGTAACAAAATTACATTCAGTGCGAACAAACGTAGAGCCCTGCAATCGGGAGTCAAAAAAAAAGGTCAAAGCAGGATGGAGAGACAAGGCTTGCAGACGCAGTGCCGTAAGCCGGCGCAGCAGTGCGGCCTGCCTTCAGAGAAGGACGTCGCCTGGCCCGGCAGGGATGAGGAGAGTACTCCCGGGGCCCTGGGCTTGAAGGCGGAGGAAGAGTCTGTCAGGTGGTGAAAAAGCAGTGGTGAGCCACCCCCTCTCCCCACCACCATTCTAAGCATGTGTCAAACCCGGCAGGTGGTGTGGCCTGGCTGCAGAGTCTCGGCCTGGAGGGGAGACAGGGGCTGAGGGGACACGTAGGGCTTTCGGATCCTGCAAGGCCCAAGGGTTTGAACTTTGTATCTGAGAGTCACAGGAAGCCACTGAAGAAATCAAAGCCACTAAAGAAAAAAAACCAACCACATGCTCTCATCCGTGTTACTAGAAACTGACTGTGGTGAGAGCACGGAGGGCTCGCTCTGGGGAGGGGTTTCAACACCAGGAATTCAGTCTGAAGGCCTCAGAACATCCTTGCTGAAGGAGACTGAATGGTGAAGACAAGATGCGTCGGGGAGTCTCAGTGGGAACAGAAAATGGGGGACCCCAGGGATGGGACCACCTGAGCACACCCGGAAACTTCCCCTGGAGGGCGCAGGGCTGTAGCAGGGCGCTTTCCCCAAGCGTCTGCGCACCCTCCACTGCTCACTCCTTGCACATGCAAGCTAACCACGTGCTCACTGTTGTGTGGCTTCAGGGACCAGTCTGTCTCCTTGCCCACAACATACACTCCGCGTGGGAAGGGACCCCACCTGCTCCAGGGCGTGCCAACACCCAGCAGATGCACAGGGTTCCACAGCTGCTGCTGGAGGGGACGAGGGGCCAGGGGCCACCATGGGAGACGGCCAGTGCAGGAGACAGAGTGGGTCCACAGGCTGTGAGCGCCCTCTGAGGTCCCGCTGCCTTTCAGTAAGGGTCAGAGGCTCGGGCGAGCTGGAGAGACAGGAGCGACGGGAGGCGGGGAGGGGGCGGTGCCGATGGGGCCAAGGTCAGGGGCTCTGGGGCTGAAGCTTTCGGTCTCGGGCAGAGGTTGAAGGTGCTCATGTGGAACAGCCCTCCCCCCTCCGTCTGGACGGCTCGGGCCTCGCTCAGCCGCACACAGCACCCACCTCCCCAGTGCACATTCCTCCTTCCTCCTCCCTTCCCCGTCTGAGCAGCGGGGTCCCAGGACCAACGTGAGGCCCAAGAAGCCCTCAGCAGCTCGGCGGGCTCTTGCTGAACCTGCGGCGGTGTGCTGAGGTGCTGCGGGCGGGGTGCGGGCACGGCCGGGCAGCAAGGGCGGCTGCTGCCACTCTTATGCAAGAAAATCAATCAAACTAGTGTTGAAACACCTTCTCCTGTAACGAAAGAAGAGCTTGAGACTCTAGGTCCTGCTCTGTGAGCCTGGACACGGGGCTGTCACAGCCTGACGCTGGCCTGGGGCCTCTGCCCCAGGGAACGTTTCTGTGTTTCCGTCCCCAGTCGTGTCCTGTGTGACCGACACCCACAGTGGACTGCTGCAGGACGGCTGGGAGGATGAGAAGCTGGTCGGTAAGATACAAGCCAAGGGAGAAACTGCCAGGATGGTAATTCTGCAAGTCTGCCTCGAATTGACTTTCAGAAGATCCTCAACTTACAGTCATTGGATCAAGATTCTTACACAGCACATAAAGGTGTCTCTTGTACTTCAAAAGCCAGTCACAAAGGGGAAATATCACATCCACGTCTATACCGTATCATATCCCCAAGGGAAAGAAAACATATCAATTTGGTTTTTCAAGAATAATGACTGTGCACAAGCAAAATATGTTATTTGCAAATAAGTGCTTGCAAACAGCAGGCTCTCTTATCTTGTCATTTGAAAACAAAGCAAATGTTTTAAACGTAATTATAGAAATGTATGAAAATACTCTAGTTGATTTTTTTTTTACAGGCAGAAAATGTCAAGGATGCCAATGTCAGCTCGGGAGTGTGGCTCTCCATTTAGAAGCCAAGTCTCCCCGTGGGAGAACCAGGAAGAGGTGTCTGGTCGAGTCTTCTTGGCAGCACGCGTGGGCCAAGGGCAAGGTTGGCTGGGCTGGAAGCAGCACGTTTAGCTACTGTCACCAGGCAGGGGTCCAAAGCAGCAAGGGCGCCTCACCCACGCGGCGCGTGGGGGGCCGAAAGAAGAGATCACAGTTGGGCAAAGAGGCCTGGGGACACTGACGGCCAAGAAACAGAGGCGGAGCCAGTCAGGATGACGAGACGGCCACGACCTCGGGTCTGGGAGGGCAAGAAAGAGGGTGGCCAACCACGTGAGACACCAAGCAGAAATGCCATGAAGGCTAGAATTGGCCTCTGAGAGGTAAATGTATGGCCCGGAAGACACGAAATTCACCCCGCGAACCACAACGCTGCTGAGACTGATGGGACATGGGACACGGGGCAGGAGGCGCAGACCTCGTGCTGCTGCAGGGAAACCAGGATTCACGACCAACACGGGCCACAGTCCTGGCTCGCCTCCCTCGGAGCACGTGGGGACCAAGCCACCAACACCAACACGTGGCGTCAGCCAGAACACAACCCTGCCCGATGCGGGGAGAAGAGGAGGAAGGTATTCACACCGGGAATGCTGTTCACAGAAATACGGAAATCCGTGTGTTCTCCTCCACCTCTGTCACTACTACATGTCCTCAAGTATTTTTCTGAACAAAAGTGTCCATTCTCTCTTGGCGTTGCGAGACAATCAGAATGACAGCACTGAATTAATTCCGCATTTGCTGGCTGTAGGAAACGCGAAGCTGAGTCGCCAAAGGGCACAGCGGAGAGGGTGACACCACCCATCTGGGCTCCCGAGCGTGGCCGTCTGATGACTGCGCCTCAACGCCTGTGTCATCCTGCTGACCCAGCACTCGAGGCCCTACTTCGTTTACAGAAGCATCGCGGTCCCTGTCAGTGGTGACTCAGCTGTGGCAGCTGTCACTACAGATCTGGGGTTCTTGGCAGAAATTCCAGGAATTCCGGTGTATAAAACACATACATAAGATGGAGGAAAAAGTACCTCTCAGGAAAGGTTCCATGAGGAAAACGTGCCTTAAAGTCTGCCCTCTGACGGTGGCCTGCCCACCCAGGGGCCAGGTGTCCCCAAGGGAGCTGCCCTGACCTCCCGTGCTGTCCCCCAGCATCCGAAAACCCAGCCTCACCGCGTCTTCTCCGCTGTCCAGGGCTCCCTTCCCCGAGTTACTCCCATGGGCCACAATGGACACTGGTCACTCTTCCTGCCATTATTTCTGCCACTGTTCTGCCACTGATAAAGCCACCACTGATCAACCTGCGGGCCAGTTTTCCCTACACAACATATAAACAAAAAACCCCCCAGATTATAACTTAGCCGGCCCTCCTCACTGAGCTTGGCTCCTTCTCTTTCCTTCTTTCTTTTTTCATGGAGGTGCTGGGGATTGAACCCAGGACCTCACGCATTCTGAACGTGCACTCTACCACTGAGCTACACGCTCCCCTGCTTGGTTCTTTCTTAAAAACATGCTTTTATTACTCCATTTCTGGTTTTACTGTCCCACTGTTTTGAATTTATTTATATGTAAAATCAGAATCCTAAATATTCTAAACTGATATACTAAAAATCAGCCTGAATTCTGGATACAGCCTCATTAACAGAGAAGGCATCATTCCTCTTCAACCTACAGAGAAAACGCCATGAATGTAACAATTTGGCCCAAACTTAACTTGCACCCACTGAAGGACACTGAAGGGCATTTGGGAGAAGAGACTTTTGGCTTGAACTGTCACAGAACATCTGTACCTAAAGGGAGAAAGGGTTTTTAAATTAGGCTTAAATTCAACACTATGAAAAGTATCAAGGAACAGACGCAATTAGACACAGATTCTCTGCCCAACCGTTCAAAGGGCCGAGCCCAAGGCAGGAGCCTTGCCCGGGCTCCGCTTTCTAACTCCTGGATTAAACTCACATATCAGAACTATGAAGACTTTCCCTGAACACCCACTTGTAAGACAGATGGAAAGTGAGGTGGTCTGGTTCAGTGGGCAGAGGGCTCCAAGCTGCCAGCTTTCCCACCACCTTCCTGAGAAGGCCCAGGGCCCTCAGGACGGAGTTTAAAGCCCATTGGCTCAGACGCCCGCAGCTCTGCGGGCCGTAGATGCCGCGATTCTGTGATAATTCGGTGCCTCGGGACAGGCTGAGCGAGCCGACCCCTCCCCCAGACTAGTCTACAGAAAACAGCATCTCAAAATTGGTCTCACGTTGTTACCTTTTACAAATGAGATGGTGCAGTCACTCCCTTCCTGTTCAGATGTGAATAATAAACATTCTCTTAAACACCTAGCACACCTCCACCTCCACAGACAGTAGCTGATCGTGTTACTTACATTTGGAAACTAATGGGCTGATCGCAGTACTACAGCCCGTGTGGATTTACAGGTATCATATTTGGCCCAGCGTGATTTCCAATAAGAATTACTTCTAATCATTTGAGTGGAAATTCAGAAACATTAAAAGAAGCCGTGTCGAAACTGGCTGGTTCACCACGTGCAGATACTGTGCATGAAGGAGGGAAGCACCCATTCGTGAAGACAAGGCAAGCGGACGTCGGTGTAATAAACTAGCAGGTTTACAGATTCCGAGACTCACAAGCAGTGGGCTTGCTCCTCCTGGTTAGAACCGTGTTCATCCACCCCGCCCCAATTTATATTCGATCTGCAATCCAAAGACATAGCCCTTTGGTCTGCTGGCACGAAACTTATAAAATGACTCAAGATTCTCAACGTTAAAGTTTCCATTTTTTAAAAAGAAGAGGGTGCAGAGGTGTCAAGTATTATAGCTGAGAACAAACAGCACAGCGAAGAGAGCAGCAGATCCGTGGAGCCCCCTCCCCGACGCTGGCATTCACGGAGCAGCCACATGAATAGCACCGCAGAGAACAAAAGGCGATGATGATAAAATGGGTGCTTTTGTTTTAGAAGGCTGGCGCAGATGGGCCTGGCATACTTTGTGTTTCATTTTCATGAAACTTCAGCCACATTTCTAGGGCAACATTTCCACTGTTTGCAGGCAAAGGGTCTCTGTGCAGGAGGCCAGTGACTTGCCAATGATTCTGCTGAGTGCCCCAGCCTAAGCCAGAAAACGGAATTTAAACACTCGGGTTGAGTGCTTATCATCCCATATAACAATGTAAACTGAATGGTTCAGTTATCAACATGCATTTTAATTAGAATGAGCAACCTTTAATTCCCAGGTGGACATAAAGTTCTCATATCAAACTTCCTGTTGAGATGCTCATCGCTACACATTTTACACACACAGGCACACATACTTTTTTCCTAATCTAGTTGGAAAAAAATTTCATTCCTCATTCAGACACACACTGCTGATACTGCATTCTCTCACTTTACAATAGAGTCCTGGAAGAAAGCCTGCTATAATGGAAGCAGTATGTTTCCACTGCAGTATGTTTAGACTGAGTGTTGAGCGCTAACTAGGGCAAGTGCCCAGCAAACTCCGATACACAAATACATCTTTAGTCTTGGCCTCAAACACTAGGTACATGGTGATCTTCAGCAGAAAGTAAGACATTTTAAACAACACCTCGTGTAACAGTAAGTGGTAGTTTTCTATCCCCAATAAGTCAGTTGCATATCATACGGGTTTAGTCATACCTGGCATTTTTATATAATTTACTTACAATAAAATGAATATACAATTACCATATTTATTTCACATCACCTATCTTAAACATAGCAATGGACATCTCATTGTCACTCACAATTTTTGAGTTTTAGGAAAGGGCCACATGTATGAGGCAGGTACAGGGCTATTTTAAATTCAGATCCTCTTCCCGAACAGAAGGGTTACTGACGGCTGTTTCTAAGGCTGGAAGAAGAGGAAATGAAGCAACAGCACCAGCAAACTCTCAGCCAAACAAACCAAAGCCAAGGTCACAGGATCTGTGAACAACATGGACTCTTCTAGTGGCTTCTTGGAGTCAAAGCCAGAATTATCAGGATCCCAGTTCTGAAGGCCTGGTCTCCTTACAAAAACAAAACAAAAAGCCCCGCCATGAAGCCGTATGTAAACAAGTTAATTCTGTGCACTTGTTCAAAGGGCAAGACGTATTTTCTCCCAAATGCTGCTATATGCTCCTAAAAACTGAGCTAATGCCAGTTCCGTAAATCATGAAAACTTTTTGTAAAGGTTCTAAAGATGTCAGGGAAGGCCAACTGCTCTCATCTGCTAGAACATTTTCAGTAGTGTTTTATATTTTGGCCCCAGGGATCAAAATCCTATGCTGACCATATTTGTGTATTTCTCAGTACCTTTTTTCCAAAGCATATAGTAGACACCAAGGATTAAAAGTAATCAAAATAATTCACAACTGCTCAGCAGCTCTTAATGTCCAAAATAAACCTAGCAGTTTAGCGAATTTAAAAATTCTGTCATCGATTATTAAATCAGCTGGCCTCCCTGCAAACACATCCATGTATTCTGTCAAGTATAAATACTTAGTTGGAGGTTGGACTTGACCCGGCAAGTTAATCATTTTAATCAAGAGCTTAGATAAAGCCATGGGGGCAGTTTATTAAATCTGACCACAACAGAACATTCTGGCTGCCACAGAAGGGAACTTTGGCCACTTTAAGAAAACACAGTACTTGTGAAGGAGAGCACTGTACTCAACACCAGGAACCGGGTTTTAATAGAGGAATTTAAATAGGACACAAACTGGAACACAGCCACATGGTGGTGCAGAAGGCAAAGGCTCTCTGTCCAGAAACAACAGCACGGGAATGAGGTGGGAGGTGGGGGGGGGAGAGGAACTGAGCAGGCCAGCTTGGCAAATCTAGATTTGGGGGGATGGAAACAAGGCTGTGAGATCATCCGCCAGCACTGGGCAAGCTGTTGTGTGGAGGAGGGGCTGCACAGCCCTGAGCAGCTCTAGTGCATTGAAGGTATGTTTTTAACTCATTATGAGAATTTTCTAAAAATTAGAGCAATTCACACATGAATACACAGGTGAGAAGATGCTCAACAGTGCTAGTCATGAAGGAAAATACAAATTAAAGCCATAAGGGCTACCACTACATACTCACTAGAACAGCTAAAGTTAAAAAGACGGACAATACCAAGTGCTGGTGAGGATACGGAGCAACCGGAACGCTCATACTTTCATACTTTGTTCATGGGAATGCAACGTGGCACAGCCACTGTGGGAACAAGTTTGGCAGTTTCTCACCACGTGACTTCGCAATCCCATTCCTAAGGAAGTGAAAACACATGTTCACACAAAGACCTGGACCTAAATGTTTACAGTAGCTGTATTCATAGTCACCCACAACTGGGCACAATCCACATGCCTACCAACAGGAGAATGGAAAAGCACACTGTGGCACGTCCACGCAGCGGAATAATGCTCAGTTGAAGGCCCAACGTAATAAAAGAAAACAAATGGCTAATAGGTGGAACAACAGGAATGAATTTCAGAAGACTTATGCTAAGTGGAATAAAGGCTTCATACTGCACAATCTCATTTATGTGACATTCTGGAAAAGACAATACTACAGGCACAGCCGAGAACTGCGTGCTGGGTGAAGACAGTTATTCTAAAGGGACACCAGGAAGCCTTGGTGTGGATGGAAATGCTCTATACCTTGATTGTGGCAACGGTTCCACAACTGCACACATTTGTCAAAGTCATCCAACTGCAAGCCTAAAAAGGATTAAATTTACCACTTGTAAACTAAAACTCATTTTTTTTTAAAAGTCAGTGCTCTACATATAAACACTGAGTTCCTTGTCGTGAAAGTTCTGGAGCAGCATCTAGACGATTTCCTGTCCCAGAAGCTGTGGGTCATGTTTCTGCATTCAGCAGCCAATTAGATCATTTTGCATCTAAGGAATCAGGGGTCGACAGCTATAAAGCACTGTGACTTTCTTTCCCTCATCTCCAGTTGTTTAGAGCAACTCAAAGACTTCTTTTTAGTGCCTGAAAACAAATCTGCTCTGTCCAGGGTCATATTTATTTCCTAGAGACAATGCAGACCCTCTGGTTTGTATAATCTTTTGAAGTCTAGTAATTATGAAAATCATTAATTAGGCTGAATTGTCTTTTACTTCTATGTTCTGTCTCATCGATGACACAGAAATGAGCAAGGCTAGTTCAAAGGGCAGTGAATACTCACAGCAGCCACGTGTGTATAAACTGGGTACCTAAGCAGAGGAGATGCAGAGTATCTACAGCCGAAGACGGACTTTCATCAGGCGAGGCTTGGTGTCACATCTGTGGGAGATGCTGGGAGGTTTCCCTGCTATTTGTATTGACATTTGTGAATGTACGCTATGCTCTATTTAATTAAGGAAAGGCCATGTCTTAAATGAGTGTGGCTTATATAAAAATGGGGATGTGACTGTCTACCAGATGGCTGTTAATTGTGGTCAATTAACATTGGTTTTTATTTTCTACTTATCCGTTAGTTACACTAGTGCT